CACCCCCCAGCATTTTGTGGGCTAGGAATAGCCGCCAGAGAGCCGATTTTGCCCCCAAAGTCGTGAAATCGTGGCTGAAACTCCAATATCTTGGATAACCTGACCAGTCTCAAGGCTCATGTAGCTCCAAAGGATGATTTTCCTCTCGAAAATGCTGCGAAATGAGGCGTAAAATCAAGGGCCCGGAGGGTCTGACCACGAGTCTCTGGGGGGGTCCTCGGCCACGATCCCCCCCTAGCATGTGGTGAAGGTGCTGGGGGGGGGCGGGAGCCCCCCCCTAGCATGTGGTGAAGCCTCTGGGGGGGTCGGACCCCCCCCCTAGCATGTGGTGTGAGTAGAAGCGCGCCCCCCTCCCTGGAAGCGATGTGCGCCTGCTCTGGCGCATGCAACGCGCAGCAATGCTCGCCTTGCCTCGCGCAAATGCGACCGTCCTCGCAGCCGACAGTCCACCGCCTGCTAAAGAAGCACAGCGACGAATGCGGCACCGGCGACACATGGCAGGCTGGTCATGACGCAGTTATAGGGTGTTGTGTGCCGTCAGAGTGACTCTCTGTGTCAGGGATAGTCAGGGCCGTCCATCAGAGCTCCAGTAAGCTCGGAGACACACCCCATTAGTGCGGCTCGACCTCTTTGAGTCACTGCCTTCCCGCGGTTTTGCTGTAGAGCCTCTACAACCAACTCTACAGCAAAAATCGCGCGCTCTACAGCGCTCTACAACGCACGCAGTTCGTCCCGCGCCGGATGTAGAGCTCTACAGCTCTACAGCGCTCCAGAGCGCTCTACAGCTCTACAGCTCTACAGCGCTCTACACTCTACATCCTCTACACCCTCCCTCAGACGGCCCTTTGAGCCCTTTGTGCTTGTTGGGGCTCCGCACCGTTTTTGGAGAGCGGCCTCCGCCCACCCAGATCGCACGCCGGCGCTGCGCGCTCAAAGGCGGCTTGGCAACCATCCTCCGAGCACCGTGACGGCAAAACCCGCATTCGATAAATCGACCAAGTACCGAATCCGCCACGCCACGCAGTTTGAAATACATGTAAATGACTATGCCCCGGACGAAATTCTTTTTCCGAGCTAGACTTGTGAGCTAGACTTCGTTGTTAATTAATGAAACAAGCGAAGGGACACACACCACACAAACGCACCGCACCGCTGAATTCGCACCGCTCCGCACCCCGCACCCCGCGCCCGCCCCCCCCCCCCCCCCGCCCCCGGGGGAAAGAGACGAGGAGATGGAACAGCCCGAGGAAAGGAACGGAACAAACCCGTATGGGAGGGTAAAGTTGTGCGTCACGCTGCCCGGCGTTTCTCACTTTCAGGGACAGCCCCGCCCTTTGTTGAGCACTTGGAGCACTTTGAGTGCAGTCTCGGTAACCTCCATCCAGGCCCGGGAACCTGAGAAGCGCACCCAGCGGGCCGGATGATCGGTATCGGGTCAAGAGAGCCCTAGCCCTCCCTTACCGGGTTTCTCCTTTATTTCCACTTAACTGCAGGACGCCCCCTCTACTCGTGGGCACCTGTTTTTCTTGCATTTTAATGAAGGCGAGTGTAGGCCTGTAGCGTTGCTCGGCCGCGGCGCGGTGCGGCGGCGTCACAAATCCGACGGCAGAGCACCGGGACGCGGTCGGGCGATCTGAGGTCCAACTAGGCGTATGCATTGCCCATCCAGGGCTATCACCTGGACCCATCAACAGGCGCCTGCCCCCCGGCGGCGCCGTGCTCAGGAGGTGTTGTTCACACCTGGCCAACCATTTTAATGAAGTCGAGTCTTTTTGCGTTGCTCGCGTCTCCGGCGAGCGAGGAGCGGGGACACAACCATTTCTGGAATCGTGTGTCCACGAACAAGATTTTTTTTTTTTGAGCTAGACTTCGTTGTTAATAGGAACAAGCGAAGGCACACACGACATGACGCCAAACACACGATTGCACGCACCGCACCGCACCTCGCACCCGCGCCCGCCGCCCCCCGACCCCCGCCCCGCCTAGGTGGGAAAGAGATGAGGAGATGGAACAGCCCGAAGGAGGAACCCCAAACACGTATGGGAGGGTTCAGTAATGCGCCACGCTGCCCGGCGTCTCTCACTTTCCGGGACAGCCCCGCCCTTTCGAGGCAGGAGAGTGACGGCTACCCCGTACGCCCTGGTGCTGCTACCCCGACGCCGACCGCCCATTCCCCCTCCCCTTCCCCAACCCCGACGAGCCGATGACCAAGCCTCTGCCAGCGCGCCCCCGAGCCCTTCCCCCCCCCCTCCCCCCCCCCACCACCACCACCACACTCACACACACTTTTTTTTTTGCATTTTAATGAAGTTGCTGTTGTTGCTCGCCGTCGCCTCTCCGGCCGCCGGCTTCAGCGTCGGCGCTCGCAATCCGGATGGCTTCAGCGGCGCTGGCGCTCGCACGCCGCTGCACCGCTCGCTGCCGCCGCAGCTCGTGCTTGGCCGTGTGCAGCGATTCGTGAGCAATCGCGTCATCTCGCCGTTCAAGCGGGACCAGATCGCGGAGGAGATCGAAGCTGCAGTCCTGACCGACGAGATCGAGGACGCGATGCCAGAGCCCGTCGTGCTTTCCGAAAAGAAGCTGACGGCTGCCGATAAACTGCTCGTAAAACTCGGCGTGAAGACGGAGGACGAGTGCGTGGTGCCGGAGGAGGGCGAGGACCTGATGGAGCAGATCAAGTGCGCCGGCCGCGCGGGCATCATCTCCTACGTCATCTGGGAGTGGATCTTCTGGATTGGCGCTGGAGGCATCGCGGCAGTCACGTACTACCAGGCGACGGGTGGCTGGCCCGACCTCAGCAACCCCGACGACCAGGCCAAGGTCGGAGCGTCGGCGTTCGCGCTCGTCAACGTGGCTCGCTTCGCCGTTCCGCTGCGGATCGGCCTCGCGCTGTCGACGACGCCCTGGGTCGACGAGAACATCGTGTCTCGCTTCACGTCGGGCGAGGACGACGACGACAAGGACGGCGGCAGCGGCGGCGGCGAGGAGAAGGCCGAGCAGGCGGCCCCTGCGTAGAGCAGGCGGCCCCTGCGTAAGCCGCCGTAGCGGGTGCTCGCGGCCCTAAGGTCCTTCCACCACGCTGTTCTGTACGCAGAGGGCTTCTAGGAGAGTGCGGTGACACGATTGCGCAGCGCACTTGTCGCGTCTAGCAGCGCGCATCATAGAGCCGAATAATGCACCGCGATACGGCTACATGTGTATCATGTGCAATTCAAAGGCCAAAGCGAAACTCCCTCTATCCGCCTTTGCCCCCCCCCGCCCTCCGCCGCCCCTCACTGACACACCCCCGACACGCACTTACAACTCTGGGCCGGCGCGGGGGCCCCAGAGGGTGTCCATGCGGGGGGGAGATGGGGTCCCATGGCCCGCCGCAGGCGCCGATTTTTTGGAGTTTTTTTTCTTTTTTCGCGATTTTTTACTTGTTTTCATGGGAATTCGGCGTACTTGCGGCCATGCTATCACGCCTTGCGACAGCCTGTCGGCGCAGCTGACCGTGCCATGATGCACAATTGATCACCTGCATAGCTCGCGGCCTTTGTATCAAGCATTCAGTGATGACGTGATCGTACGGCCAGTAGGAAGGTGTCCTTCCAGCTGCGTGCACGCTTCTGGCGCAATGCGCGTCACCTCGGATTGGCTGCTGGCACTCTCGAGGCTATGCCTACACAGCCTCGCGCGCATGGGCAGTCAAGAGGGACCACGCACCTTCTCAGGACAGCGCCGGCGCCTCTCTCTTGGACCGGCAAACTTGGTGGTCTCGTGTCACCAATGTGGGACCAGTGCGGCATCGCGCCATCGACAGCTCTGAACTGCGCCTCACCACTGACCGGGAAGGCCGCCAAGTGGGCCAGCACAGGTCGCACATTGTGGCAGCAGTCAGCAGTGCATGGCTGATAGCTAGAGCAGCAGCGTCAGGGTCGCAGGGTCGGATCGTGTCAAGCCTCTCGCCCGGCCGGCCGCGTGCAGACGTCGGCCTGTCTGCTGTCTGGAGTGATCTGTCGGCGGTCAGTACGACCGATCAGGTCGGAGTTTTCTGATGGTTGGAGGGTCTATCTGTATGTACTCCTCGAGATCTCTCCAAATCTGCCCTCTGATCAACCGTGATCATTCGGGAAGTCGGTGCTCATAGAGACTCATAGAGCCGGAGCCCCGTTTCCGCACTGCGGCGCGGCGCACGGTGCCTCCGGGGGGCCCCGCGCCGGCCCAGAGACTTACAAGACAAACCGGCGTTCTGCTCTCAAAAGAAAAGAAAAAAACTAGAGCTGTCAAACGTTAACTTTGGGCCTAACAGTTGCACTATTGTTGGCTGAAAATCCTCAACGTTGTTCAAGTGTTCTCCCCAGCCCAAGCTGTTACTGTTTGTTACTGTTGTTACTGTTGTTCAGTGGCCAGCAAGCAGAAAATGCCAAAAACCCCGGGTAAAACCCGAAAATACCTGGGTTTTTCCAGGTATTTTCGGGTATTACCCGCACTGGACGCTGGAGATCGTCGTGGGTCACTGCCAGGCCTTCCTTATTGTTGTTCAGCTGGCCTAACGTTAGCTACTGTTGTTGGGGAGCCCCACTGTTGTTCTGTTGTTACTGTTAACACTAGCAACACTGTTCAGCTCTTAACGTTTGACAGCTCTAAAAAAAACGGGAAGGAGGAGACCAGCGGGGGAGACTCCCCGCCTATGCAACACCCCAGAGAGGGGCTGCCATCGCCGAAGCTGTGCCTAAGCATAACTCCCAAACCCGCAGCGGCCCGGGGGGCCTTGGGGGCAGCCTGCCGGACCGCTGTTGCACGGGGCTAAGCACCAGAAGGGGGATGGGCTGTCGTCCGTGCTTCCCCTCTTTTCGTCAGAAGGCTTCCCTGCAAGAAAGCGATCGCCAACTCGCTGGCCTCTCCGCAGGCCCCCCGAACGCGTGCGAACTCATCGGCGCGGGCTCTCTCGGCTACGGGACCGGCCCCAGCTTCGGCTGAGGGCTAACAAGCTGCCGAGCCCAAATCACTGTGAGAGTCGTGATTTCTTGTTGGTTAATAAAAATCTCTCTCTCTCCCTGCAGCCATCCGCCGCCTCGCCAACCGGGTCCTCATGAAACACCGCAGCTCTGACATGTGCGACCTGTTTACCGGCCGCACCGCCGACTCGCGCCGCCTCATTGTCGACGACATGCGCGAAATCTGCCGCCGCCCGAAAGCGATCGCCGCAGTCCGCGCAGTCCGTGTCGAGGGTGGCGGCTTAGGAGACGGTGACTTCGGCGAGGGCGACGGCTCGAGGAGCTCGAGCTCTCGCCGTCCTTCGCCTAGCTGTGCCGTTGGCAGCAGCTGCAGAGTCGGACGATGATCGACCGACGAGGAGCTTGGGGCCGGGCGCGGCACCAGCCGTGGGATGCTTGCATGGCCATGATCGGCAGCATACTGCAGCTCAAAGGCCGCGATCATCCGTTCTGGAAGAGCTTTTGCCGGCTCCCACGACTCATCGTCGTACCCAACCCACCTGACGCGAGGCAGGGTGGCGCTGCGTTGTGGGTGCTCGCGAACAAGTGTTGTGGCTGGGTCGCTCACCGAGTGAGGTACTCTGCTACGCCAGACCGCATGCGCCTTCGCAGCAGCCTGTCCACTTTTCTGGTCATCGGGGCTCCATCCCTCATGTTCATCGGGGTGATCTCGGACGATGTCTCGATGGATCTGAGGGTGACGATCGCGCTGAAGAGAAGGTTGTGCACCCGCATATTCCGTTGCCGGCGAGCGGGTGTGACCCTGCTCGCCCAATACGGCGTCGTTATCGAGGCGAATGAGATATGGACGGGGCAAGTTTGCAACCGCTCTTGACCCCCCCCCCCCCCCCCCATCTCGGTATCGACGTAAAGTCTTCGGCATCTCGGTCGCCTCGTCTCATGCCCCGCAGCCGCTGGAGCGGTGTGTGTGTGTGTGTGTGTGTGTGTGTGTGTGTGTGTGTGTGTGCGTGTGTGTGTGTGTGTGTGTGTGTGTGTGTGTGTGTGTGTGTGTGTGTGTGTGTGTGTGTGTGTGTGTGTGTGTGTGTGGCATGTTTTGCGAGTATATGGGACAAAAGCGTCGAAAATGTCCCAAAAAAGCGTGTCTTGAGTTTGTGGCAGCCCCACAGCCGGCGCGCGCTGCCAGGAAGCACCGCTCGCGTGTCGGCCGCACTCCCTGGCACCCGGTGAGTGCGGCCGACCGACCAGACCGATTAGGCTCGACGCCGCGCTCGCTGTGGGGCTGCCACAAACTCGCCGCCGAGCGTGCCACCGACAGCGTCCTGGCGGAGGTGATGGAGTGTGAGACCTGAGGCTGCGGAGGTGACGCCTGAGGTACCGGCCCGTGCACAGCGACCCAGCCGGCGACCGCCACGGGCTCAGGCGAGACTTGTCGACGCGTTCCGGCTCAGCTTCACCGTGGTCATTGGGCGTCTGTCGACGTCAGGACCACCCATACAGCTCGAGGGTTTGAGGTCGCAAGAGCCAAGATGGTGGCGTTTGGACATCCCAACCATCACACAAGACAGCCTGTAGGTGATGGCGGGACGGCGCAGTGTTTGTGGCACTCGGCAGTAGGCACCCGCGGCACGGCCCCGCTGTCGGCTCTCGCGGGCTGCGGAACCGGCCCCAGAAGGGGACGGTCCGGGCGAGTGTGGCAGCTCCTGCGCTAGCATGGGCACCCTGTATCATAGCACTACTGATCCTGGTCATAAGAGCTGCCAGGAATAGCGTCAGGAGCCGGTAGGAGTCAAAACCCCTCATATTTGAGACATCGTGTCCCATATACTCGCAAAACATGCCGTGTATACGGCTTTATACACGGCACACGAGCAGGAAGCCGACGGAGGAATGGGATTTTCGTTGCACGTTTATACACCAAGTAGAGACGAGAGCTCATCAGGGCATCGGTACGCATTCCACATAGACAGAAAGTGGGCGGGAGGCACCTGATCGCGCTGCGCCACCCACCCTCCACGGACAGTGAGAGTGTGCTGCTGTGCTGAATGCAGCGGCGACCGGGCGAGGCTAGCTCGGGGCGCCGCGCCTCAGCGGTTGGTATCCTGCCACACCCACGACACGGCCTGCGCAACGGGCCGCACCACGCCGGCGACGTCCGCGAGGCAAGCGAGGGGCAACGGCTGGTCGCGCCGCGGCCGGACAGTCAAGGCGTGCTCCTGCGCGATGGCGGGGCAACACGGCGCGAGCGGCAAGCTGAGCGGGTCGCCCTTTGGGTGGAAGTTCGCCCATCCGCCGCGCAGGTGCGGATGCTTCCGCTGCATGGCCGCTGTCGGCACCTCCAGCTGGTTCAGTCCCGGCACACTCCCCCCCGCCGCCGCGAGTAGAGGCAGTGGGGAGCCCAAAGTGCACAAGTAGGAGAGCGTCTCCCCGCGCTCGAGCGGCGTCGTGCCCGCCGCCGCGCTACCCGCCGCGCCCGCGCCCGCGCCCGCGCCCGCCGCCGCCGCCCCTTGCCCCCCCGCCTCCGCCCCCACCCCCGCCATCGCCTCCGCCTCCGTCTGCGCGCAGGCAGCGCCGCCGGCGCCGCTCGAGATGCGACTCAATGCCATGTCCGTCCTCGCCGCCGCCTCCTCCTCCTCCGCCGCCGCCTGGGCGCGCGCAAAGTAGTCGAGAACAAAGACCGAAGCGAAGCCTTGCGCCACGACACAGAGCGGCAACTCGCCGCCCGAGCCGTCCTCGCCGGCGAACGCGCGCAGCGCGTCCCGCACAGCGCCGCTCAGCCGCCGATGATAGCTGCCGCCGCCGGTTCCGCCGCCGCCATCCCCGCAACCCTCCTCGCCGCCACCGCCCTCTCCACAGCCGCTCCCTCCGCCGCCGCCGCCTCCGCCTCCGCCGCCGCCTCCGCCTCCGCCTCCGCCTCCGCCTCCGTCGCCTCCGCCTCCGCCGCCGCCTCCTCCACCGTCGCCTCCCGCCTCGGCAGCAAAGCGGGTGAGGTCGAACATTGCCTCGCGAGCCTACGAGAAGTGAATCAACCCGCGGGTGAGCATGGGAGGAGGCGAAAGCCGAGCACACAGTCTCGCGCGCCGCGAGATTGTCGAGCCCGTACGCCGCAAAGGGCGCCAGCTGCTCCGCGCCCTCCGACGGCCACGCACAGACATGCACGCGCAAGGCGGCGGCGACGTTGACGCGGCTCCAGAGCAGCTGGCGGGAGAACTCCTGCGTGAGTCGCGCGGCGAAGTCGGCCGCCTAGGGTTAGGGTTAGGGTTTAGGGTTTAGGGTTAGGGTTTAGGGGTTAGGGTTAGGGTTTAGGGTTCGGGTTAGGGTTAGGGTCAGGGTTCGGGTTCGGGTTCGGGTTCGGGTTCGGGTTCGGGTTAGGGTTAGGGTTTAGGGTTAGGGTTCGGGTTCGGGTCCGGGTCAGGGTTAGGGTTGGGGTTGGGGTTAGGGTTAGGGTTATTAGGGTTCGGGTGAGGGTGAGGGTGAGGGTCCGGGTTAGCCTCTGCAGGCTCGCGCTGCGCCACGCCCGACGCGAGGACGAGGAGGAGGGCAACCTGCTGCTGCGCCTGCACCGGCCTCGCCGCGATCATCGAGGCGTTGTAGACGGTTCGCACCTGCGGCGGCACGAGGCTGCATCAATATGCGCAATGGCAGTGGTGGTATGGGCTGTCAGCATGGTCAACAGCGCGCACACACCTGCGGCGGCACGAGGCTGCCGCCATATCCGCCGCTCGGCATCACCCCCGTCGACAGGAGCGGCGTCGTGTGCTTGGCGAGGAGGCGGCCCTTCGTGGAGCGCATGATCTTCGCGTCGATCTGCTCGTTAAAGAAGACAATCTCGAGCTCGGGCTCCGCGGACGGCGCCAGCCGCGCCTCCAGCCACTGCGTAAACGTCTGCGAGCGGGAGATGTGGGGGAGATGTGGAAGAGATGTGGAGGAGATGTGGGGGAGATGTGGGGGAGATGTGGGGGAGATGTGGGGGAGATGTGGGGGAGATATCGGTGACGACCTGCGAGCGGCAGAACATCTCGAGCCACTCGCGCGAATCGCTGCCGAACCGTGCGATCCTACGATTAATTAGTAATTAGTAGGTAATTAGGTAATTAGTAGGTAATTAGTAGGTAATTAGTAGGTAATTAGTTAATGATGAGTTAATTGGTAGCTAATTAGCTGCCGAACTGTGCGATCCTACGGTGGTGAGCACTCAAGCTCATGATATGCTGGCGGGAAGACGGTGTTGTGCAGTGTGCTCGTCGCTGAATAGAGCTGAGTACGCGTCCCCTCGAGCGCTAGTTGGGATAGAAGAACCCGTCTTCCGCTTCTAGGGTCCCCGGCCCGTCCGTGCTGCCAGATACGGGGAGATACATGGGGAGATATATGGGGAGATACAGGGGGAGATACGGGGACAGAGTCCGCTTCTAAGGCCCGCCAGCGGCGCTCGTCGAAGAAGTCGACGGCCGCGGGCTGCTTGATGGTGGAGGACGGCACGATGAGGAGCTCCTGGTGGCGAGATGAGGGGGAGAGATGGGGAGAGATGGGGAGAGATGGCGAGGGCACGGGTAGCAGGCTCCTGGTAGCGGACCATCATCGAGACAAAGAAGCGGAGGAAGCCGGCCTTGATGCGGCTGACCGCGGCGGCAACCTCACCCTCGCTCATCTCCGCCAGCGATCCGGCCGGAGTCTCGAGTGCCATGTCCGGAGGCGGCGCCATGGAGAAAGCGGTGGCCATGCGTCGCCCACGGCCACTGCCGCCGCCTCCCCCTCCCCCCCCTCCTCCCCCGCCGCCCCCGCCGCCGCTGCTGCCCCGCACGCTCCCTCCGTCGCCGCCCTCGGCGCCGCCCTCCGTGTCCTGCGACTGGCGGCCGCTCGCGCGGCAAAAGGGCGCGAGGGCCTTGTACAGCTTGTGGTACTGCTTCTGCGGCAGCCGGATGGCGCGTGCAACGTCAGGGTCGCAGACTATCGAGCTGGCGTCGAGGTCGACCTGCACGACACCCGTCGTTCACAGTAACTAATGACTAATAGCTAATCATCGGTAGTTCAGAGCTGGCGTCGAGGTCGACCTGCACGACACCCGTCGTTCACAGTAACTAATGACTAATAGCTAATCATCGGTAGTTCAGAGCTGGCGTCGAGGTCGACCTGCACGACACCCTCCGTTCACAATAACTAATGACTAATAGCTAATCATCGGTAGTTCAGAGCTGGCGTCGAGGTCGACCTGCACGCCGTCGTCATTGATAATGAATACTTGATAACTGAGGACTAATCATCAATAGTTAGAGAGGTCGACCTGCACGACGTCGTCCGGCACCAGCCCCCCCTGCTCCGCCATGCCCAGCACCTCTTCGTCGATTCCGATCAGAAAGGGCACCGGCGCCTGCAGTGAGCCAGTCAGTGCTACACACGTCCTAGCAATGGACGACGGTCCCACACGCACACACACACGCTGCTGATGAGTACAGTGAGTCAGTCAGTGTTACACACGTCCCTAGCACGGACGACGGGGCACACGCACTCGCGGAACACAGGGGGCATTGCACACGAGGCTGTTGTGTGCGTTCTCAGGGAGAGGCATGACCAGAGAAGGGCACCGGCGCCTGCAGAAGAAGAGAGAGTACGCTTCGCCTTCAGCCTCCCGAGAGTTGAGGCAGGCACCGGCGCCGGCGCCTGCAGAATGTCGAGCAGCGACGCGGGGAGGATCGGGATGTAGACGTGCTGCCACGAGAACGGGAAGAGGAGAGCGCAGAGCGACTCCGCCGCCATCGTCAGCACGTGCGTCTGCCGGGCCTGTTCACACGCCTCGCTGTGAAGAGACGCCGTTCACAGCCTCGAGCAGCGAGAGCGTCTCCGCGCGGTCGGCCTGGAGCAGCACCTTTTGCTCCGCCAGCAGCAGCGCCCACAGAACGATCACCGAGGAGACGTCGAGGCACTCGAACAGCAGCAGAAAGTCGCGACCGGCCATCGTGTGAGGCAGCTCGTTCGCCGGAGGGATGACGACGTGGATGGAGACGTTCCCCAGCGGGACGTCGACTCGCCCGCCGTAGTCTGGCAGCGGCGTGGTGAGCAGCGGGCGCAGCGACGCCTCCGTCAGCATGTACTCTGTCGACGCGGGGTCGCCGCCAGAGAGCCGCATTCGAAAGAGCTGCCGGCAGCAGCTGTTGAGCGCCTCAAAGATTGGAGCAGACGAGAGCAAGCAGATGGCCTCTGGCGCGTGCAGCTCTCCGGCCAGCGCCCTCTCCGCGGCCCGCTCGACGCCGTCGCACTCGGGCATCACCTCGTCAACGCACGCCTGCACCACCCCGTCGGGCAGCGGCTCGTACCACACGATGCACGCGCCGTACATCCGCGACTTATCCGACGCGGTCAGCACAAAGGACGTGACTTTCGGGATGGCGTTGGCGGCGGCGACGGAGGCGTTCACGAGGCGCACGCCGTGCGGGAAGCAGAACATGGCCACCTCGGGCGCGAAGCGGACGCCAGGCCGCTCCTCCAAAGGCAGGCGCCGCAGCACCGACGGCTCGAACCGGGCCTGCAGCAGGAAGGAGCCCTCCGTGCGCTCCTCCGGCCGGCTCGTGCGCGAGAGCGCGAGGCGCTCGCGCACGCCGACCTCGCAGTAGTAGTAGGCGATCGGACTCGCGTCCGATGCGCAGGCCATCAGGGCTGATGCTTTCGGCGGCATCTGGGCGGACCTGTCCAGCAGACGCCGCTCGCGCGGCCGGCAGAAAGAATTTTACTGAAGTTTTAAAGAAAACAACACTCAAATCAATGTTGCAGCGAGAGTCGGCGAGAGACTGCGAAGAGAGATAGGAAGAGGCGGACGCCCAAGGGTGGGCGACGGCTAGCGCACCACACCCCCCTCCTTAAAATCCCTGTGTGGTGGCGGCGTGCCGTCCTCCCATTCCTCCCTTGGGTTGTCCCTTTTCTGTCTTTCTTTCTTTGCAGAAAAGAATTTTACAAAACTCCCTCGCACGACACTGGGCACGGGACTGGCGCGCACTGGCACTAACGCAGGTACACCACGGGAGCCGCCTAAGCGACTCCTGCGAGTGGCTGTGCAGGAACGTTCACAGCCATACTGCTGTCACATGTTCCGGAACGGCCTGCGCAGCCTCTGACGAAAGTTGTGGCTACTCCGTGCTCACCGTGTCGAAGCGACGTGGAGGATCTTAAACTAAACCGGCCCCGCCGAGCGATTGGCCAAAAGTGCGTTTGCGCATTCGCACTCTGGCCGTTGCCCTTGGAGAGGCGGCGCCCTTCGGCGCGGTGAGGTACTTGATCTCGCTCTGGCGGCACGAAAGAAGCGCTGCGTGCCAGCGCGCGATCACGTGAAAGTAAGCGCTGCCCGCGACCCTGAGAACGTTCCAAACGATGGGCAGGAGGTGATGGCGGCGGCGGCGGCGGCGGCGGGGACGGAGGCGGAGGTGCAAGCGTCGGCGGTGGTGGCGATAGCGACAGCAGCAGTGGCAGAAAGAACATCTACACACGGCGCAAGGCTCTGAACGGAGGACCGCAAGGGGCTTCACGTTGTCGATTGGAGTGCCGTGTCTTTTCCGAGTCGCGTCAGAGTTTTCTTTTTTCCAGTCTGCTGTGAAATTCTTTTTTGCTCCCATTACCCATTTAGACCAAATGACTCGCTCTGGCACTAACTAACACAGGGACACCCTTTAGTACCTACCTCGCCTGGGCACGGGATTCTACCCGCGTGGCGCTGTTTTCACATGCTCTCGACCAGCTCGGCGACCACGCGCGGCAGCAGCGGCGCCATGGTCGCCGTCTGGCCCACCAGCACCGCGAGCAGGGTGCGGAAGGTGGTCACGTCGCGGAAGAAGACGAGCGCCTGCTCGAGATGCGCCGAGATGCGCCGAGATTGTCCGAGATGCGCCGAGATTGTCCGAGATGCGCCGAGATAGTCCGAGAAGGCTCAACCGCAAAGTTGCCGTACACCTTTGCGGTGAGCCGTACACGCTGCCGCGCGAGGAGGCGACAATCTCGGCGCAACTTTGCGTTAGCGATTCGCCGCGGCTCCGGCGGTGTGCGACTTTTGTGCGTTTTCGAAGGCTGTGGGCGGGATAGGGCTGGCTAGACCGGCCCTGGTGTGCCCTAGTGTGTTCCCTTACACCCCTGGCGCGGGAGCAGTAGCGCGGTGCGCGTCCCGAGGGCGCAGGGGCTCAAAAAACAATTGATTATGTTTTCAGCCACTTAGAGCACACAGTGCGATGTTGGTCTTCTCCACAAACGTCTCCCGCGCGGCGGTGTGCTTCGCCTGGTGCTCTGCAAGGACGTCGTCTGTGACGAACGTGTACTTCCGCTTCCCCTTGCGCCTTGGTTCGGGCTCGACCCATGCCGGATATCTCCGACGGGCGGGCGGAGACGGAGGAGCCTTGGAGGGCGATATAGGCGCCGTGCGGCTCACGCAGAGGAACCTTTTTTAGGACCCAGCCCAAACACCGTCTCCCATCGTGTAACGTGTGGTGGTCCGGTGCGCGGTGGTCGATCGACGTGTGGCGCGGGTAAGTGCGGTGGTCTTGCTTGAGCTTGGAGTGGCCGGCGCCGGCGTACTTGGGACGTGAAGACGGCCAGCCAGCAGCCTCTGCGTCATACGTCTCGATTATACGAGCGGCTCGTGGACAGGTGCAGGTCACGCCGCATCTCTCCCCTCGCACCGTACACCCAGCAGCCGGAGCTGCGACACTCCGCCCCTGGTGAAGAGGCAGCGAACCCACCCGATTCTCGCTCGAGTAGCGTCTCGAGTGTGCCCTTGCCGCTGTGCGCGGTGCGAGCGAGCACGCGCAAGTAGTGCCCCCACGTGGCCCAGTGCGGCCGATCGGACCAGAAAAAGGTGCGGTGGAGGAGCGAGCTGCATCTGTGCCGCGTGCACGGGTAGTCGAACACGTGCATACGCTGTACGCTGTTGCCGGGCACAGCTCGTGTCATGAACGTGTCGTTACTCCCGCGCGGCACGACGCAGTCGTCGTACCAGTTCAGCCGCACATGCTCGACGCGCTGCTGCTGAGCTTGCACGGCGGCGGACGCACACGGCGGCTGGGGAGCATGTGGCCTTGCCCACACAAGCAATGCGCGGTGCACGATGCTAACGCTGATCGGCGCCATCACCCCTGAGTCCTCCTCGAGCACGAAGAGCAGCGGCGTCGCCCGCCGAGCATGCGCCTGGTGGTTGAGGAAGAAAGCCAGCAGACCGCGCTTGTGCAGCCACGACTCGCTATGAACGACGCTCCCGCCAAAGGTGGCAGGGACGTGTATGTCGGCCCATGATCGCTTGGCGCGGTACGCAGCAGCGACGGCCTCGGCTGTACCATTCTTGACTCCATCAAAAAGCACGTGCAGTGTTGCTTGCGGAGAGTTACGAGGGTAGAGCACACGACGCGTTGACGTCAGCGCCTCCTGGAGCATCTCAGTGTTCGGGTCGGTCGGCCGCGGGCTTGCAGTCAATATTATCGTAACTATCACGCTGCTGACGTTGTGCCCAGTGCTAGCGACGCTGCCTTCGACGAGGTGATGTAGCTTAATTCCTTGCATTTCCTAGGTATCTGCATAGAGCTCTATACCTCGACGGCGTTTTAAGTGTGTGTGTGTGTGTCCAAGTTTTTTTCTTGAGCTTAGCCTTCGATGAAACAAACGCAAGGCGGACATGGCATATCGCTCTCGGGCCCACAGACATCCCGCACACCCGCCGCCCCCGCGCGCGCCCCACCTCGGCCGGGAGAAAGGGGAGTGACAGGAGCAGGCGCACATCGCTTCCAGGGAGGGGGGCGCACTTCTGCTCACGCCCCACCCCCCCCCTAGCATGTGGTGAAGCCTCTGGGGGGGTCGGGACCCCCCCCCAGCATGTGGTGAAGCCTCTGGGGGGGTCGGACCCCCCCCCCCAGCATGTGGTGGGCACCCCCCAGCAGTTCGTGGGCTAGGAATTGTCGCCAAAGAGCCAATTTTTGCCCCCAAAGTTGTAAAATCGTGGCTGAAAGTCCAATATCTTGGAGAATCTGACCAGTCTCAAGGCTCATGTAGCTCCAAGGATGATTTTATCCTCGAAAATGCTGCGAAATGAGGCGTAATGCGTAAAATCAAGGGCCCGGAGGGTCTGACCACGAGTCTCTGGGGGGGTCCTCGGCCACGACCCCCCCCCCCCCCCAGCATGTGGTGAAGGTGCTGGGGGGGGCGGGACCCACCACCAGCATGTGGTGAAGCCTCTGTGGGGGGGGTCGGACCCCGCCCCTAGCATGTGGTGTGAGCAGAAGTGCGCCCCCCTCCCTGGAAGCGATGTGCGCCTGCTCCAGTTTGGGACGGCAACAGCCCGAGTATGTTGAGTCCTGGCTCAACAACGTTTTTTCTTTCTGGGAGCCGCTTCCACTCAAAACGAATTGGATCGATGCTGACCTCCGAAAACTGGCCATTTTGACACGTTTCACATTTTTGGTGTCAAAACCGTTCCAGCACCCAACGAGGGCAAGCCCTTCGACTATTTCGCCCCTCAAATGTGTTTTCTATGTCTATTGCCAACCTCCTAGTGCGTTGATTCGGTGCAACCCCTGCCTAGACGAGTACAGCTAAAGAGTACCCGGGGCTCCCCATGCGGGAGACTGGGGGCCCGTGAACATCTTCAGCTTGTGAGCCAGGAAAAGGGTTGGATTCGGTGGCTGGGTTGCCAAACCAAAATCACCATTTCACTGCCTACCGTCGCCACCCCCTCGCCGCCGTCTCGCCTACGTTGCCGCCGTCGCCATCATGGGCCCCGCTGCCGAGACGGTCGCGGAGGCAGCGGCGCCCGCGCTGCTCGCGGAGGCAGCGGCGCCAGCGCCAGCGTTGCTCGGGCGGAAGACGGCCGCGTACGCTGATGGCGGCCGCGCAACAGGCTGAGGAGCGGCAGCGGCTGAGCCCGCGTCGTAGAAGGCGTTCAGAGCGCGCGCCACGTCGCCCTTCGCCTGTCTTAGGAGCGGCAGGAGGATGGAGCGGTCTACGGCGCCGACGATCGCGGTCAACGTGGCGAGGCCCACTTCGAGGTCCATCGCTTGCATCGCGGCCTTCCGCGGCGGCCTGACTGACTGACTCAGTCAGTCGGCCACTCGTCAGCGCGGCGGCGGCCGCGGCCGCGGTCCGCACCCGGCTTCCCGCGGGACCCCGAATTCTCAAAAATTCCTACTCGTAAAGCTAAGCTAGAGCTCGCGCCGCCGCCTCCCACAGCGGCGCGAAGAAGAATGGCGTGAAGCACCGCGCGTGCGTGCAGTCGCCCGCCGACGTGTGCAGCAGCCGCCCCCACGCCTGGCTCGCGTTGTGAAAGGGCAGCAGCCGCACGCCCGGGCGCGTTTCCACCCCCTCGGCCATGATCTCGTCGCGCCAGTCGACGCGCGGCGTCGGCGTGTCGACGCACTCGGCCTGCGGACGTCGCCACTCGCCCGTCAGGTAGTACATCGCCGTCGAGTAATTCGCCGCCCCGTGCTCGCGCCTCTTGCGGTGCTCGAACTCCCCGTCGCCGCCGGGTGTGTCGAAGTGCTGAGCGACCGTCTCCCACGCGAAGGTCGTCGGCCGGCGAAGGTCATCCACGGCCTTCGCGTGTGGGCCGGATCGTCGGCCGGAAGCGACGCGCTCGAAGACGTCGAGGGCCTCGGCGACGGAGGATCGGTAGTGGCTCGGCGAATCGACGCCCGCGTGCAGCCCTTCATTGCAGAGGGTCAGCGTGCAGCGCGGCAGCCTCTGCCTCAGCTCCTCGTAGAGAGTGGGCACGCCTGGCGGCGCGGCGAGCGCGCCGCCTGGCCCCACCTTGGACGACGCCCATCGCCACAGGAGCATCATGTGGATCTCGACGTCGCCGCCGCCGTCGTCGCGAGGCAAGCGCAGGTAACGCTCATGCGTTTCGCCGAGGATATTGCGGAAGGGATGGCCGGTGTGCTGCCGCCACTGAGGCCAATTTTCCGGCGCCGAGTAATACTCGGTGACATTTGCGAGGCGTGGGTGGGTGCTCAGGTAGCGCAGCGCGCTGAATGAGTCGCGCAGCGGGCGATGCTCCTCGGCGCCGCCTGCCTGCAAACTGCACGCGGCGGCGTCGTACACCTGCAAACTGAGCGAGTCGCCGACGAAAACGAGCGCGCAGCGCTGCGCATGCGGATCGGTCGCGAGGCGCGCGCCGCGCACCAGATCAGCGACGCTCGCGCAGCCTCTCCGTCCGCAGCCGTGCGTGGCTGATCGCTCCAGCGCGGCAAGGTGATGCAGACTGTTTGCAGTCGTGCCGCCGTATCCGGTGATGTTGGCGCCCAACCCGCACGTGCAGCTGGAGCTGCATCCCTGCCAGAGGGTCGACGTCGAGCGACACGCCGGGTACGTGAGATTCGCGTCGGCGCGTCGCGAGACTGGAGACATCCTCCACGGTCCGACCGGGTCGTCGGCGGCCCTAGTGCCACCAGCAAAGGTGCGTTTGAACGGCTGTACGTCGACGACGCGAGGAACGAGCAGCTGCTGCGGCTGCGCGAGACTTGTGTACCGTTTTTGTTATACCAAAAGGAGGGCTACACGACGCCCTCTACGCTGGGGTGCCGGCGCCCTACTGGGCGCCCCCCGCTCCCTTCCCCTCAGAGCCCCCCATCCCACTAGCATTCCCCCGCGGTCCCTCGCGGTCGCGCGACGCCGCACCAATGGCGCGCTGTGCCTCGTCCGCGAGCGCCACCCAGAGCTGCACCGACAGTCGCTGCAGCGCAAACGGCATCCATTCGCGCGCCGACCACGACGTCTGGTCGTACTGCCACCACGTGAGCTTCCGGCCCGCCACCTCAGCCACCCGCATCAGCAGCTCCTCCACCCCCGCGCTCATTGCGCCGAACTCCTCGAAGAGCAACGCTTCCACATGGCACTTCCCCTCTGCGTCCGTGTACTAGTCGCATCCCCCCAAAAGTTTGGCCGCCGAATCGGATGATAGGCTAGGGGAATCTTCAGTGTATGTAGCTCTTACGAACTTCCCATTTTAAACAACTTTTCAGCGTACGTGGCTCTTTTCCTTGGGGCGTGTGAATGCGTGCGATTTTTTTCTTTCGCGCTGGCCTTCGCCGTGCCAATTCTGACTTCAGCCCGTTTTGCGGCGCTTGCGCTTGCGCCCATTGCGCGGGCATGGCGAAGCGCACTCAGGCTGAGGCCTTCGGCTCCGCGCGAATGCCGGCGCCGGTGCCGCGGCCGCAGGAGCTGCCTCGGCCGAGTCCATCGAGCGCAATTGGCACCGAGGCTTTCCGCATACAATGGGGCCCTCCGCCTCACGACCAGACGCTGCCGAGCGCCGACGCGCCGCCGAGCGCCGACGCGCCGCCCAGCGCGCTACTGCGCCCTCCGAGGAATGCCTCGCCGCTCTGCTCGAGGAGCCTGATCCCCCGTTCCGTTGCCGTGAGGCACGCCATGGTGGACTGAGCGCCGGTGTTGCGGGTCCGTGTGTATATTCGCGTGCTGTGTGTGTTATTTTATGCTCAACTAAGAGGAGCGAACGGGACGCCGCCGCCGCAGCCGCGCGTTCGTCTTGATCGGCTGGTCGGCGGTCGCCTACGGCGCTTTAGCCGCTCGGCGTGGGCCGTGGCATCTCGGCCTGGCCGTGCCCTGGCCCGTGCCGCGGTTCCTGCACCCTGGCGACGGGGTGGGATCCCGGGCAGTGGGCCCCGGGAGCGAACTTCGTGCGTGTCGGCCCTTGGAACCGTGCTGTACAACGCACAGGGCCGAACACTAATTCTCACGCACACCACAGGCACACCAAGTCCACAGCCAAGGTGCGAGAGCTGGAAGAAGACCACCGTTCCATAACTTCTTTCCTCCTCATTATTTGCAGCGATTTTTCTTTTCCTCACCGGCTTGCGCGGAAAATTCTTTTCTTCGAGCAAGCCGCCGCCGCCGCTCAGCCAAATCATGTCGCTCAAGCAGACCCTGGCGTGCTTCCCGCTGACGCAGCGCGGCGCAGGGACGCCGCTCAAGACGGATGCCAAGCGCAACCTCCTCATCTACGCCCGCGAGCGCACCGTCGTCATCCGCGACATCGTTCCGACCGGCGGCCAGCCCATCCAGGCGCGGGCCGAATCCGAGACGCACGCGCGCCTCGCGGCCGCCGGTCCTCCGGCCACGAGAGAAGATACTACGCTGCTGCTCACGTCGCGATTCTGGCGGTCGGCCTGGCTCTGCTCTTCACCAGAGGCCTTCTCGCCGCCACTGCGCCTGCTGACTCGGCATCGCCCTGCCGCGTTCCCAGGTGCAGCTGTACACGCAGCACACGTGTACGGTGACGGCGGTGGCGATGGCGCCAAACGGCTGCTGGATGGCCACCGGTAACAGATTTAAATGCCGACACGCCACAGTTCCGACGGTGCAAGGGTAGGCTGCATCCAGTGTCGGCTGCATCAAACGCTTCACGCCCGTCAGCTGTATCAGCCCTCCCACGGTGCCCTCACACTGCAGGCGACGAGCGCGGGGTGGTTCGCATCTGGGCCTGCGACCACCCGGATCAAAGGATGAAGAAAGAGGAGCCGTACTACATGCTCGGCGGGAAGGTGCTCGACCTGGCGTGGAACGGCGAAAGCAACCGGCTGGCCGTGGTTGGCGAGGGGCAGCCCCCGGCCAAGGCCAGACACTTCCCAGACACTTCCCAGACACTTCCTAGACACTTCCTAGACACTTCCTAGACACTTCCTAGACATATCAGGGGCAGCCTCCGGCCAAGGCCACCGCGGTGTAGTTCTGGCGGGGGCACGCTGCCGCAGCACGCCGGGGCGACAGGACTCTGGCACACTCCACATCGGTGGCACAGACGACGGCAGACGGCTGAGTAGAGACCGACGCCGGATGGCTGTGGCGGACAGCGGCGGCCCGGCGGAGGGAGCAGCGCCTCGTCACAGACAAACACAACCCGGGACCCACGACGCACAAGCACAGACAGTCGAGAAGGGAGAGACAGCAGCGGCAGTCAGAAGTCAACGCTGGGTCCGAGGAAGGCGAATGCGAGGACGGCCTCTAGTGCGAGCTCTCTAGCTATTGAGCTCGTACGCACGCAGGCGCCTCTTCACAGAGGTACCTGTGGGCATCATGTGGGACCCCCATATCTCCCCATATCTCCCCATATCTCCCCATATCTCCCCATATCTCCCCATATCTCAGGTCATCATGTGGGACAGTGGCAACTCTGTCGGCGACATGAGCGGGCACACGAAGAAGGTTCGAGGGCGGTGATCTCCCCATATCTCCCCAAATCTCCCCAAATCTCCCCATAGGCACACGAAGAAGGTTCGAGGGCGGTGATCTCCCCATATCTCCCCGAATCTCCCCAAATCTCCCCAGAGGCACACGAAGAAGGCTCGAGGGCGGTGATCTCCCCATATCTCCCCGAATCTCCCCAAATCTCCCCAGAGGCACACGAAGAAGGCTCGAGGGCGGTGATCTCCCCATATCTCCCCGAATCTCCCCAAATCTCCCCAGAGGCACACGAAGAAGGTTCGAGGGCGGTGATCTCCCCATATCTCGCACACGAAGAAGGCTCGAGGGCGGTGATCTCCCCAAATCTCCCCAAATCTCCCCAAATCTCCCCAGAGGCACACGAAGAAGGCTCGAGGGCGGTGATCTCCCCAAATCTCCCCAAATCTCCCCAAATCTCCCCAGAGGCACACGAAGAAGGCTCGAGGGCGGTGATCTCCCCATATCTCCCCAAATCTCCCCCAATCTCCCCAGAGGCACACGAAGACGGCTCGAGGGGGGTGGCCCTTTGGGCAGCCGTCTCCAGTTTGCCACACGCGACCCGGGGGCCCTTGCATCAGGTGAACGCGGGGGCCTTCCGCCAGTGGAGGCCCTTTCGGATTGCGACCGCCGGAGAGGACAAGAGGGCGCGTCTCCGCAGAGAGAGAGCCACCAGTCGTGTTAGTGTGGGCGCTTTCAAGAGGCCTATGCCCCTGTGAGGGTGGGGGGGGGGGGGGGGTGTAGTCACATGAGCTCTCTCTCTCACACACACACACACACCACGCATACACACACACACACACACACACACACACACACACACACACACACACACACACACACACACACACACACACACACACACACACACACACGCACAACACACGACACTCGGCCGCTCCTCGAGGGTTCACGTTGGGGCATTGTTCGCCAACGGCTGGTGGACCAGGTGCGCTTCTACGAGGGCCCGCCCTTCAAGGCGTCCGAAAAAAGAAATCGAAGCGCCGCGAGCTGTGTCCGCCGCTCTTCACGGGCCCCACCCAGCCTGTGAACAGGCGTCCAAGGAGAGGCCGATGCTGGCGAGCAAGGAGGGCGACCTCACCACGCACTCCAACTTTGCGAACACGGCGCGCTACTCGCAAGACGACTCTCTCCCCATCTCTCCCCATATCTCCCTATATCTCCCTATATCTCCCCATATCTGCCCACATCTGCGCATATCTCCCCATATCTCCCCATATCTCCCTATATCTCCCCATATCTCCCCATATCTCCCCACATCTCCCCACATCTGCGCATATCTCCCCATGCCTCCCCATATCTCCCCATATCTCCCCGTATCTCCCCATATCTCCCCGCATCTCCCCATAGGTGCGGTACTCGCCGGACGACTCGAAGGTCCTCTCCGCGTCCAACGACATGACCGTCGCACTCTTCGACGGCAAGGACGGCGCGCCGCTCAAGGCGGCGAAGGTGCGCGCGGGGACCATCTACGCGGCTGTTCAGAGCTAGAGGTGTGAAGAGACGCTGTTCCCACGAAGGTGCACGCGGGGACCATCTACGCGGCTGTTCACAGCTAGAGGTGTGAAGAGACGCTGTTCCCACGAAGGTGCACGCGGGGACCATCTACGCGGCGGAGTGGTCGCCCGACGGCAAGTGCATCGCCACCGCCTCGGGCGACAAGAGCGTCAAGATCCTCGACGACGGCCTGGCCACGATGAAAGAGGTCAAGCTCTGCGCCGGCGCGAAGCCGGACGCGGGGGACATGCAGGTGTCGGTTGAGAGATGGGGAGAGATGGGGAGATATGGGGAGATGTGGGGAGATGTGGGGAGATGTGGGGAGACATGCAGGCGTCGGTTGACCGCGCGAGAGGAGCTGCCGCCGCTATGGCCGGAACCGCAGACTTGAGGCTGTCTGTTGATGTGCACCTAACCAGCTGAACGGGGGGGGGGTGCGGGGCGAGGATTGCTCACGCAGCCGAGGCGTGATGACTAGTCTAGCCACGACTGAAGCAGTGTGGTTTCAGTGCTGGCCAGCCGAATGTGCGAGCTGTGCGCGGGCGAACGGGTGACTGTCTCGCCGCCCCAAACAGGTGGGATGCGTGTGGGCGACGGCGGGGGTCGTCTCGTACTCTCTCGGCAGCGACCTCTCCATCATCGACCCGGAGAGCGGCGCCGTCACGGCGACGCAGGTGGTCGCACACCCTCCCCTACCCCCCATGGTACCCGAACCCACCCTCCCCTACCCCCCATGGTACCCGAACCCACCCTCCCCTTCCCCAGGGTACCCGAGGCCACCCTCCCCTACCCCCACGGTACCCGAACCCCGCAGGTGGGGCACAACCAGTCGGTGTCGGCGCTGCTGTGGGCCAAGGACCGGCTGATCTCGGGCTCGTTTGCGACTTGGGGCGAGGGGTCGGGCAGCAAGCTCTGGGGCGTGGCGCGCAGCTCGGACCGCCCCCTCTCCCCCCTCTCTCTGTCCTCTCTTCCCCCCTCTCTTTCCCCTCTCTCCGCCCCCCTCCTCTCTCTCCCCGCCTCCTCTCTCTCCTCGCCTCCTCTCTCTCCTCTCTCTCCTCTCTCTCCGCCCCCCTCCTCTCTCTCCCCGCCTCCTCTCTCTCCTCTCTCTCCTCTCTCTCCGCCCCCCTCCTCTCTCTCCCCGCCTCCTCTCTCTCCCCGCCTCCTCTCTCTCCTCTCTCTCCTCTCTCTCCTCTCTCTCCTCTCTCTCCTCTCTCTCCTCTCTCCTCTCTCTCCTCCTCGCCTCCACCCTGTCCTCCCCTCCTCTCCCCTCCTCCTCCCCTCCCCTCCTCCTCGCCTCTCCCTCGACCCAGACAGCTGCAGCTGCCGTCCCCGCTCCGGTCCCTTCACGGCACTCCTCACCTCTTCCTCTTGCCCCCACCAGGTGCGCACCTGGGACTTGAGCACCGGCCTGGCCTCCTCCTTTGCCGGGGAGGGCCATACGAACCGCGTGCTCTCTCCGAGCCAGTCTGCGGAAGTATCGCGGACGGCGCGCGGACCGCTCGGCCACAGGTGTTGCTGCTACACCGACGACTCTCCCGCCGAAAGCTCCCGCCGAAAAGGACCCGCGTACGCGGGTCTGAGC